CTATTTTGTAAAAAGAATACACCTCTCAAATTCTTAGTACTGCTTCACAACACATGCACAAACTAGATCAGCCTGGAAAAACCCCAAATCTCTGGGTATAATTATTGATATAGTGGTAGATATAAAAGCTATTTGAAAAAATGAGGGATTGCTACGGAGACTGAGAGAAAGAGGAGCTCTCTTTCTATGAAATCTCATGTACTAAGGATGATACTTTTCTGGAGTTAACGGGGCCATCTTTACTGGCAGAAAAGCCTCCTGAGAATGAAGATGATGTGGAAGAAATCAAAGGTCAGAGAGAGATAGAGGGGACAGGGAGATTGGATCACATTGTTGGAACTCTGAATCCAGCCACACCTGAACATTAATGTCCCCAGGGCTACTATGTTGTCAGTCAATAGCCTCTCACTTGTTATTAAAGTCTTGATTAACATACCATACTTCCCCATCCATAACACATATCACACTTCATCCTAATTAATTGTTTGTTTACCTTCTCCCTACTAGGCTGAAATTCCATGTGAGGCAAGGCCCTGTCCCACTAGTCCACCACTGTGGGCTGAGCAGAGAGGAGGTGTTCAAACATTTGTTAAATGATCTGAGGGGATTTCATATAGAATCAAAGCTCTAGGAAGCAATGATGGGAAGGATAAAGCCCCGCTATCTTTTCTTAACTTCTCCCCAGCTAAACACAGATTGGAAATCTACTACCCCAAAGGGTCTCCAGCTCCATAAGCAAGGCTTACTCAGAGGGGAGATGGGAATATGTCAGAGGAGGAACTCTTGTGTACATAATATTTATGAATTGTCATCATCTATGGCTCCCCACTTTATTATCCTCCATTTCCCCCATTGCTTAGAGAAACAGATGCTATGAGATCATTTGAAATCAGGGTCTCCAGCTCCATAAGAAAGGCTTACTCAGGAGAGGGGAGATGGGAATATGTCAGAGGAGGTACTCTTGTGTACATAATATTTATGAATTGTCATCATCTCATTAAACCATCAACTTTCTGAAAATTTCCAAGGATAATCATGGTATTCTTATGAACAATTTCCCCCAAACAGTAAGAGACACTGGGTCTGAGACCAAGGAAAGGATGAGCTGTTCCAGACTTCTTAGAGATTCCTGCTTTCATAGGTCACAGTTGACCATAATTTTAAATGGGCAAAAATGGAAACAAAGAAACACTTCTCTGTATTAATCAAGGATCACTCAATTGCAAGTAATTCACACCTGATTTAAACAACTATAGGAAAAATTTGAAATTTCATTGTTATGTCACTGAAGAGTTTAGGATTTGCCAGATGGACATATGGCTGGAGCCAGTTCCTCAAAATCAGCAGTCTTGTTCTCTCTATGTCACCATTTTCCTGATGCCTGTATTCTCTGCCAAATCTCTCCAGTGGTAAGAACAATGGTCTTTGGAGTGCAGCATATTAGAATATCCCTTCTAATGTCCACCGCAATCCTACAAAAGGACTTTAATAAGCTCTGCTTGGGCCATATGCCCAGGCCTATGCACCTCTCACAGACTCCAGCAGAATAATATTTTCTTGTGGTCTAGCCTGGGTCCTGGGGGCAATGTAAAGAGAAGGTTGATGGGCAGTTCCACCACTATCACAGAAATAGAGGAAGAGGTAGTTCCCAAAGGGAAGGAATGTGAGCAGACAGGAAGGAAACTGATGTCCATTATCCATTCCCACTCATCCTCTCTCTCAAATGCCTCAGAGCTCCCAGAGGGATCTACACCATGTGCATCTCCCACCTGGCTCCGTGATCTCTCCAGCCAAAAATGCCCTGAGCTCCAATCTTATCCCAGGGAGGGACAATAAGCTTAATGTCCAGATGTGCAAACTCTGTCACACAGCAGCACACCACAAACCCGTGCTGCCCTGTGCTGTCTTCCTGAAGAGACTCGTCTTGTCTTACCCCTTCCTTTTAAAAATTGTTGACAGTATTACAGATGTCCTCCATTCCCTTCCCCCTCTTTACCTCCCTCCACCCAGCCCCCGTCCTACCCCAGGCCTTCACCACATTATTGTCTGTGCCAATGGGCTATGCATATATGCATATATGTTCTTTGGCTCATCTCCTCCAGTCCCTCCCATCCCCCTCCCCTCTGAGATCTGTCAGTCTGTTTCATGCATCAATATCTCTGGACCTCCTTTGTTTGCCAGTTTATTTTGTTATAGATTCCACATATAAGTGAGCTCATATGCTATTTGTCTTTCTCTGACTGGCTTATTTCATTTAGCTTAATAATCTCCAGGTCCATCCATGCTGTTGCAAAGGATAAGAGTTCCTTCTTTTTTACAGCTGCATAGTATTCCATGGTATAAATGTACCATAGCTTTTTTATCCACTCTTGGGCACTTCCAGATCTTAGCTATTGTAAATAATGCTGCTACAAACAAGTGGTGCATATATTCTTTCTGATTAGTGTTTCAGTATTCTTAGGATATATTCCCAGAAGTGCGATTGCTGGGTCTCTTACCCTTTCTTTTAATTAGTCTCCCCTCCCTCCCCATGAAATCCTGGGACCTAGGCTACAGGGTGCAATATGAGCAACCTAGCTATAATGAGAAATTTCCTTTTCCTTCTATACTGACCTTAAATGAAATTTGTGGACATAGATTTTCTCCCCTTAGGTTTAGTTCCTTTTCAGAAGCTTCCTCAGCCTCTAATGCTGACAAGCTTCAGGTAGACCAACCCCATGCTTTCCCACCAGATCAAGCTAGATAACCCAGTACACAGCTGGGATCATTGCTGTGCGTATTTTAAGAATATCTTATTCTTAATAGATTTCCTATTTAAGTGTCATCTGACTTATTTGTTAGTTGTCCTAAACAACAGTTATCCCACCATTGATCATCAGATTGTCTGGGTGCTATTCTAATTGGTTATCACAAGGACCAAAAAGTACAGATTTCTCCTGTTGGAATTTTCTTTCTTTGTTGGGGCGGGGGGGGGGGGGGGGAGCAGAGGTGCTTCTATTTTCTTACCCCTGGTCCCATGTAGAAATCGTAAGTTTTTAAAACTCTATACATAAAACATTGATGTAATAGTTAATGTAACTGTTGACTTACTAACTGACTCTAGGTAGACATTTTTAAGTGAAGAAGTACCTTGATTGACTCTGCAGTGACCTAAATATACTGCAGTGGTGCCTGAACTTCTGTCTGTGCCAAAAATTTCTTCCCATTAATGGGACATGCTGCAATCAAAGGGACAATTATATGCAAATAGATATTGGCTGATAACACTGGGAGAATTTCAACACATTCTTACACTTATATGACCATAATGAGCAAATGAATATGCAGACTTATGTTGGGGCCAAGTTCCCATTCTCTTCCCTAAGCTGTATCTTCTTTTCTGGCCGTGTAACCTGTGTCATCTCCTCTCCCAGCAGACCTCATTCAGTCCCACTCATTTCCAGGAGTGCTTTCCACCTGCCCATTGCAAATAATCATCGGGAAACATCAGCAGGAGCCCTCTCCTCCAATACAGACGCACATTCTGTCACAATGAGCCACTTTTCCAGACTGATGTGAGCTTTCCAAGCCACATAAGAAATGAAACTGGTAACTTAGAAAACTTGTTTCCTCTTACAGTTATGAAACTGTTGTTTTTCTGGTGCTGAAAATTATGCATAGACAAAGCACCAAGGTTTAAAGTAAATGCTTGTCAGATTAAACCAATGACATCAAGAAAACCAAAAGACTTTATTTCTGACAGTACATCTGTTCTACTGTTTTGTTTTTGCTGTGGCAGAGTATATAACAACATGGAGATCACTAACTTTGCACATTTTCTCATGTGTGGCACACATTTGATTATAAGGATGAATAAACCAGTTCTCCTGCCCACAGGTCAGTGGCTGGGGAAAAGCAGGCTGCTGATCAATGCAGGTTAGGATATGTATGTTCACTGCCCTTTGCCAATTCTCCAGGAACCCTGGTGCCATGCTGGGAACTTCCGGTGCTTCCTCCAGACACAACCAAAGATTATACACATTTCTTGGTCTTTGCCAGGTAATTCAACAAATGAGTCTTAGGATGTTATCAGGGTGTTATTGATTATATGTGCATTTGAACCAGGGCCTCCTGGAGAAATGCTTTAAACCAAATAAGTTCCAGCATTTACTTATACCTTCTAAATCCTTTAAAGCACAATTTTGTTCAACTCTCAAATAAATTCCACAAGGTAAGGATTCTAATTTCCTCTCTGGTAGAAGAGGAAGCTAAAGTCCTGATGTTTAAATGATTAGCCCAAAGGACCTCACATTTCTAAACAGAGTGCTGTGTTATTTGTTCCAAAGATAAACTCTTTACTGCCTAAAACATACTTAACAGAAAAAAGATATTTGAAGAAGTAATTGCAAAAATCTAAATTTGATGACAAATCTCTATTTATAGATCTCAGAAGCTCAGCAAGAAGAAGCAAGACAAATGCGAAGAAAAATGCTATTGTCAAACTGAAGAAATCCAGAGTAATTCTTTAGAGAGGCCAGAGGAAAAAAAGACACATCACAACCAGGGAAACCTAAGTGCTCAGCAGACACGATGGAGGCCACAACACAATGGATGACTTTTTAAAAAACAAACAAAAACCAAAAGGCAAATGGTCAACCCAGACTTCTGCATTTGGCAAAAAAATATCCTAAGAGTGAAATAAAAACATTTTCAAATAAATGAGAGAAGTTGTTGCCATCAGACCTATACTAGTGTTTCTTCAAGCCAAAGACTTCTTCAGGCTGAAGGGAAGTCGTAACGTTGAGACTTGGATCTACAGGAAGTAATTCTGGGTCTATAAGCAGCATTTTGAATGGTGAACAAGACAGTTTGGGGAAAAAGCAAAAACTGAAATATTTTAAAATAATGAAGTGATGTCATATGTCATAAGGACAGGGGAACTGTTTTTTTCTTTTTTGTACTGTTTAAGATTTTTGCTAGATGATTGTTAGTTTTTTAATGTTGCTATTTTGCTGTACAAACATTCTTGTATCTATTTTTATCTAGTTATCTTTCCTTGCATTATTTCTGTAGTTCTCTTTGTCCTTAGAAAACTCTTCCTGACCAGAGATAAGTGAGTCACTCATATAACATGATTTTACACCTTCTTTTATATTCAATTGTTGAATTTATCCCAAATTTATTCTAATGAATGCAGTGAAGTGAGAATATAAATCTCCCCACCACATAGCCAGTTTATCAACATCAATTGTTGAATAATTCATCCCTTTTCTATTGACTTATGATAAGTCCTTTATTATTTGTTAAGTTTGCCTCTGAGCATGTAGGCTTGCCCATTGATCTATTACTAATTATGTATTATACCATTTCCCTCGGACAGCTTTATGATGGAGCTCAGTACCAAGCAGGTACATTCTTTCCTCTTCCTGTTTCTCTCAAATTCTTTCTCTTCACACAGATTCATTCTTAGAATCATTTTATCAAATATTCTTAACTCTGGAATGCTGAATGGAATTTCTTTTGATCTACAAGTTAATTTGAGACGGAATTATACCTTTGCTGTGGTCCATTTTACCACAAGGAACGTAAAACATCTTCCACCTTGCCCTGACTGGTTTGGCTCAGTGGATAGAGTGTCGGCCTGCGGACTGAAGGGTCCCAGGTCCAATTCCGGTCAAGGGCATGTACCTTAGTTGTGGGCACATCCCCAGTAGGGAGTGTGCAGGAGGTAGCTGATCGATGTTTCTCTCTCATCGATGTTTCTAACTCTCTATCCCTCTCCCCTCTTCTCTGTAAAAAAATCAATAAAATATATTTTAAAAAGACAACATCTTCCACTTTAATTAAGGTTCAAGCAAGGAAATAAAGCTGAGAGCCTTCTTATATTAGTAAATCAAATAGAAAACACTCCCCTCTGCATTCAACTGGGGCCCCAAGAACAATACTTAGAGTGAAAAAGAAATAAGAACCCCTATGCACAGGGAATAATGGGAAACCTGTCTGTCTTGAACCGATGTTCATTAGAGGGTAAAAACCTCTCTAAGAATTTGTAATCTGAACCTGACCCCACGTACATGTTGGTACAAGTTCATACTACTTGTGGTTCTAAGCAACATCAAGCTAGGATTAAATCTAAACCAGTGCCTTCCAGGAACTGGGAAAAGCAAACACGAGTCCTTCCTGGAGAAATTTATCAACTGAAATCTCAAATTCCCATGGAAAAATGTTTAAGGAAAATGAGTGACTCATAAGAATAATAAAAATAAACAACTAAACACAGAAGAAAAATGATGCACCATTAGTGAAGTAAGGTATAAAAGGGACAAGTGAAAAAGATATGCAAAAACTTGAGATAGAGAAATATCACATCTAAGATAACAAATAACCATATTTAAAATCCTATATAATAAAAGCCTAATACACTAAGTGTCCAGTCGTCTGGTCAGCCATTCAACCAATCAAAGCGTAATATGCTAATGATATGCTAAGGCCGCTCAACCGCTCACTATGACGTGCACTGACCACCAGGGTGCAGATGCTCCAACCAGTAGGTTAGCTTGCTGCTGGGGTTTAGCCAATCAGAACAAAAAAAGATCCCAAATAAATGCAGCAATTTTGAGAAAGAAGAACAAAGTTGGAGGAATCATCATACCAGATATTTTTTCTCTCTCTCTTTATTTCCCCTTATTTTTTCTTCTTTTTCGTTTCCACTTACCTCTTTTCCTTTTCTCAGTATCAATTTTGTGCTCTTTTCTCTCCCCTAACTCTAATTTCCCTGGTCGTCACCTTTCTTTGGGGTTATCGGTTTCGTGAATACATTCATGCTTTGTTCCCTCTATGTTGTGTCATGTCGAGTTATATTTTGTGCCCTTTGGTCAACATGGTAGAGAGTGAGCCACATAGCCAGACACCCTGAGAGGAGTAAAAATGGGGAGACAAAGAAACAGCCCCCATATGAAAGAAAAGGAGGAATGACAGGAAAAGAAAGTAAACGAAATAGAGGCAAGCAATTTGTCAGAGAAAGAATTCAGAGGAATGGTCATAAGGACACTGAAAAGGATGGAAGACAAATTCAACAACATGTGTAAGAATCAATAGGAAATGAAGAAGAACATGGAGGAAATGAAGAATGACATAGCTTCAATAAAGAACACAATAGAAAACATCAACAGTAGACTAGAAGAAGCTGAGGACTGAATCAGTGAGCTAGATGACAAGATAGGAAAAAATACCCAAGCAGAGCAGCAACTGGAAAAAAAACAACAACTTAAAAAACAGGAGGAGAACCTAAGGGAGCTTTGGGACAACACAAAACAAAACAACATCCACATAATAGGGGTGCCAGAAGGAGAGGAAACTGAGCAAGGAATAGAAAACCTGTTTGAAGAAATAATGACAGAAAATCTCCCT